CTGTAGTATAATTTTTTTGCAATCAACTCAAGATATTCATGTTTATTATTTTACAAATCCATACCAATTATCCAACACTTGCTAGTGCATAATGATTTTACTGCACTGCAAACCTCTTGTTTGTATGTTTAAATACAAATATGAGAGAGAGAAATATATATGAAATATAATAATGTTCCCTTAAAAGTAAATACAGTGCAGAGAGGGAGCTGCTTCGGCAGAGGTTTGTGCTGTTTGAGTGCTTCTTGGCAAAACTGTTAATTTAACCATCAAATCAGGCTGTTTATAAGGATTCACTTATATCAGTCTATGTGAAATGTGAATTATGTCATGAGCCAGATATAGTTGTATAAGTTGATTAAAAGTTTGTTTAAACAAAAAGAAAAAAATAAATAAAAGCTGTTTTTAATACAGTTTAAGTTTGTTTTACAACATGACATATAAAAATGAAATTTTGATGTTGAGAATTAAAGATATATTGCTGTAAATGCATTTTTTTGTTTGTTTTTTAGCTTCTATGTGAATTCAACCATCACAAAAATACAAAAGGAAAAAAAGCAGAAATTGTCTTGCAGCATGTGGACATGCAGGACACGCGTACGTGTCTGGTGCTATTCTACGTTGCCTAGCTTCATTACCTTGTCCTGTTTGTTTTGCCATGCTGTGAAGACCACAGACACAACAAGGTTTGATTGATTGACTGAATCTTTATTTTGAACATGTTGAAAAAGTACAACAACATAGAATTAAAAGAGACAAATGAACAAAGCAAAACAAAAGGAAAACGAGCAACCACAACACCAAATAACTTTCATGTTCAAAAAGGAGCAGGAAGAAGCATAAGCTTATGAGAAGGTCATGTGAACGTTGCATATGCTAAATCACAGAGAGAAGTGTTTTTCACGAAAACTTAGCTCATATTTATAAGCTAATTTGTGTCAGTAGACTTACTCCTTACGTGCTTTCTGAATATACCCGACCAGCTGAATCTGTACAGTTTAGTGTTAGCTGTCTGCTAGATTTCCCACCATTAGCCGTGAGCTCGGCTGTTGTCCCGTGCTCCTGCTCCCATGAGCCACCAGTCGATGGCCTCTTCAATTTTGCATGTGCTGAGAAAGGAGAGTAGTGCAGAAGACTGTTGTTCAGCTGTGTGTGTGTGTGTGTGTGTGTGTGTGTGTGTGTGTGTGTGTGTGTGTGTGTGTGTGTGTGTGTGTGTGTGTGTGT